AGACCAAATAAAAAGTAAAGACGGAGTTCGCTGAATAACAAAGTGAAGCCGATTTTTAGCAATTGTAGTGTGCGTGCCAGTGTGACCATAGTCATTAAAACACCCCAATAACTTTACGTTACGACGTTATAGAGTTAACGTTAACGTTATGCTATTTAATAATATAATGTTAATTTGTTTGTCAATATCAGCATAGATATTCTAAAATCTTTCAGTGTAGGTAATTATTATTGGAGGCCATACATTAGAGAGACTATTTAATTAATTTTTAAGTTAAGTTTGAAAACTTCTATGTTAACTAAAATTTTAATATATAGAAAGTTTGAAACCTTTGGATGTAAGTTTTGCTTTATTCGATGTAACCCTTTTATATCGTAGTATAATACATATCATCGCTCTTAAAATGAGTCGAACAAACTATACTCCATTCATTATAACATTAGAAAAAAAAGGGTCATAGAAGCAGCAGTGCAGAACATTTTATTTTCAAGATATTTTAAAAAAATATATATTAGTTTTTTTTTTTAAACTTTGAACATTAGGTAGTCTGAATTTTTTACGATACCTCGGGGTTGAGATGAGGCCAGCATTTTATAAATTCATCTTTTACTCCCAAGCCAACATGGAACTAAAACTGAAACTATCTATCTGTTGTTTTAATAAATTCTAATTGTAAGTGTAATTAGTTAGACTATTGATGAAGACATTGGAAAAACTTCCTGAAATGTCAATGGTTGAGGGTAGGCATGGGGACTTAGAGTTTAATTTGTGTAGGCCACTCGGGCCTGCACCGGAATTAGCCCTTGAAACCCAATATAGCCCTCTGGCTCTACACAGCCATCATAAGGCCGATGGTGTCTTACGCCTCGGTGGTTTGGAGTAGAAAAACGACACAGAGTACTATCATATCAAGACTTAACAGTCTGCAAAGGACTGCTTGTCTTATAGTAACAGGAGCTATGTCTTTACCAGCAGTTTTTTTATTACCAGCATGGAGGCGAAGACATGGCTGTCAGGTAATTTGAGGTACCTGAAGGACTCAATATGCAATATACCAATCCTGGGGATGCCTACTGACACCATGCCCCCGAGAATCGATTCACACAGGTCATATCTTGTGGAGATACCCACCAGGGACGACTGGTCAAACAATCGTATAGTATGGAAAAATGGAAGCCTAAAGTGGTACACTGACGGCTCCAAATCCGGTCCTGAGGTAGGATGTGGAATTCATGGAGAAGCCCCAAGGAAGGCTATAAGTCTGAACATGGGAAAGTACTCCTCAATATTCCAGGCAGAGGTGTACGCCATTTTGGAATGTGCGGCAGCCAATCTGCAAAATAACTACCTCAATCATACTATCTACATCCACTCTGATAGTCAAGCTGCACTCTTAGTACTAGCTTCCGACATAACTAGATCGAAGCTGGTAGAGAACTGCAAACAGACATTGAACTCTTTGGGCAGCAACAACAAAGTAGTTCTACGATGGGTTCCAGGTCACGCTGGACACGAGGGCAATGAACAGGCGGACAAACTGGCGAAGAAGGGTGCTAAAGACGCCCTTATCGGACCAGAACCTTTCTGTGGCATCCCTCAAAGCCTAACCCAGCTCACCTTGAAAACATACTGCCACTACGCAGCTATTCAACTATGGAGAAACACTCCCGGTATGAAACACTCTAAGACCCTGATTAAAACCTTCAACAAAAAGGCCATCAGCATCATCATCGGCATCAGAGGCCTTAAACTTAACCAAAAATCACCTTCGCACACTAGTACGAGCACTCACAGGGCATTGTGAACTGAACAGACACATGTACAATATGGGGATCAGCGGCAGTAGAATGTGCAGAGGATGCAAGGAGGAAGAAGAAACCACCTTTGCACATTTTGACCGATTGCCCGTCACTAATGCTAAAACGATGTATCTATCTGGGAAAGCACGTGATGCACCCAGACGATATTAAAGAACTTACGGCCAAGAAAATACTACAGTTCCTTGTAGAATGTAATCTTGACCATGAACTGTAGTATGTGGAGATCACAATAGATCAGCAATGGTCGCAGTGATACTGGGCTGCATAAACCCATTATAAACCGCAACTCGAAACAATAACAACAATAGGCAACATTTTAAATTTGGTAGAGTTATAGTGACATGAGAATCATGCCGAAACTATCTAACCCTGCTTCTTTAGGTTCTTTAAGATGAACACTTTTTATTGTAATATTTATTAAATGTTTTAAGTCAGTCTATATACTCATAAATTTGTTTAATATATAGCTTAAAAGACTACGGTTAAGTATAGCAGCTGGTATTTAAGTGGCTATGTAGCAAATTAGCCGTTAGTCTTATGAGTAACATGATTGTTGACATTTTGTCACGAAGTATACCATAAAAAGAACCTTATTTTCATTCTGTCTAATGCTATAATGAATGGAGTATACGCTGCGCGAAGTTGGATTCCATGAAGGTTCATTTCGACTATTATGAATGATTGAAATCCACTTCTCTTTCACATTTTGATGTCGGTTGGAAATGAAAAAATGTATGCAAACCCGTTTAGTAAACCCGTTTTTTTATTTTTTACTTCCTTATTCTAACACTTCAATATCTGTGATCTGGACCTCGATGTAGCATTTTGAATGCAAAATTTATTAAATATCATTTCCATACAACAAGAAAAAAATACATAACGTAATTTGTGTTTTGTTAGAAATAACGCGTTATAAAAGTAAGGTTACCTGATTTCGGGGTAAATAATCTCGTTTAACGATGGTAATATTTGGCTGAGGTTTTGTGTTCCAAGCAATTACTTAAATTTAATTTTTAAATTACTGAAAATGTAAGTTTTCTCCAATACTTATGTGTGAAATGTGATTCCATCCTGCTTTTTATTTTTTGAGGATTGGTTTTTACAACCTTTTACCGCACAATTCGGCAGTTAGTAAGAAATTTTTGATTTTTTTTATAATGAAACGTTCCGCCCACTGTCTTTAGTTAGACTGATAAGGAAGACGTAGTTTCGTTATGTATGTGTGCGTGAAACTGTGTACGAATACGCCGAGGCGTAGTTTTGCCGGCTTCACTTTTCTGTTAGGCAAAACTCCGTCTATACTTTTTATTTGGTCTGAGATTTTACGCATTTGAATTAGTATTGTAATCAAAAGTTAGAAGGGAAAAGTTATTGTAAAAAGATATTTTCTCTGCGTTCTAAATTAAAATAGTAGTTACTCTTTTTTCCCGCAGATCATCCTAGCTTCAGAGAAAATGAGCTCTGAAACTACGTTGTGCCGACTACTAATATTATAAATGATTCTCGAATCAAAACGGAAAATTATCTTTTCTCGCTCGCCACCACGTAAACGGATTGTCGTGGAGTGATATCTTATTAATATTTATATGATGTGGCTTTCATTGAATAGAATTTATAACTAATTATTTTTGTGAACACCTCCCGAATGATAAGAGATGGAAACTTTATAAAGAATAATAATTAAAATGCCTTTACAACCTCTTTCTTTATTATACATGGGATATAACGATCGCTCAAATGTAGGGATATTTCAATCAAAGACAAAATGAACAAACAATAACAATAAATAAAAATAAAATACCAAACCACTACAAGTATAAAGAATTCAACACAATGCAATTGAAAAAATCTTATTTACAAATAAATACTCGAGTTGATTATTTGGACAATTGTTCGTTACCACGGTATTGGTTACATAATTTTCACAACCATGACATTATTAAGTGAAATTTATGTTATGAAATAAGTGTCATGTAATTAAACCACGTTGTACGAAACTAATTTAGGCTCATGCGAAACTAGTTTCGGAACGGCGTGTAATCAAAAGTATGTCTGAGACACAGGCTCCATTAACGACGAAGTTTGGCGACACTAGTTTGGTCATCTAAATCGTGGTGAAATTAGTTGCGTGACACTAATTTTGTCAAAAATAAACTACATACTAATGCCAGAGTGTTCTGCTATGTTAGCGTAATTATAGAAAGTCAATAGTGCTTTAATTACAAGCCGTTATGGCACAGTTTTTGTTATTACATTACTAAATAAAAAATATATCTGTTACCATTGATTTGTAATGAAGACATTGAACTAATAATATTGGATTTGTGGTAGATAATACAATAGTAAAAAACTAGCAGTTGAGACTAAATTTATGCAATAAAACTAATACCATGAAACTAGTTTCGTTGTCCCTTTGAAGCTTTCTTTTAATGTAAAATTATATAACAATGTAAAAGAAGAAAAATAATATCTAAGGTACAATAGGGTTGATATATCCACATGGATAAAAACCCGAAACAAATCAAAGAATTAAAATACTAAACATTATTAAAATTGCAAAACAACATTCACACACTTTGAGTATTTAAAATGTATTTAATTAAAAAAAAATGGCCTGATTTTATTGTTCTATATAGTTCTTTACAACTAAACGAAAGAAATATAAAAAATTATTGCCGTCAAAAAGAAAACCTCCTCCTTTTCAAGTTTCAAGTCCGTTAAAACTACTTAAATCCTCCCAACATACCGCCTCCTTCATGATTTTGAAGTCTGTCAAAAATTAAAAATATCTTTTGAAAGTTTTAATTCCTCAGAATGTCAATGATCTTCATATGATTCTATAAATAATAAATAAATGATTCGATAATAATCCTGATTAATTCATAATCACGCCTGATGGTGCGACTATAAGTAACTCGAGGGACAAAGCACTTGTAAATTATGCTTTATTTTCTTTGGTCTATATATTAATATGAATCGTGATGATAACACGCTTTTAGAACATCATGTAACAGGCATCAACGATTGTTATGAAAACGAGGGTTACTCTTGACAAGTTGCTTAGTGATCATCTCCATTTCTTTTCAGCTAACAGCGAGTGTATGACTGTGAAGCAAAAAAAGGAATGAACAACGAAGCAGTGTTTCCGCTCACGAAACATACAAACATGAGGCGACCAAAATGCCGCAGCATTTCCGTCTGGCTGCATTCTATACATCTGTTATAAAGCAGATGGTCTCCGTTCGTTTTCTCTTCCTCATCGCTATCGTCAGTTTCTTAGTATCCGTCGTTTTTATTCAATCTGCAAAGAAAAACGATAGACTTGTACAAGAAGCGATTGAAAATATCAGCCGCGATATCAGATACATTGATGTTTACCGCAAGCCCAGTAAATTGTCAAATGATGTCAAGTATATACTCCTGTGGACTTCTCACACGTATTCTCCGTTATATTTCCTCGGTAACGGCCAGGAAGCTTTCGTTAGAAACAATTGTCCGGTGATAGACTGCTATGTCACCACCGACAGAACTTTATTTGGTGGTGACGTATCCCGATTCGACGCAATCGCTTTTAATGGCCGCAACTTAAAGGACTATAGGAGACGATCACAGTTACCTTTGAAAAGATCGATGCGACAGAAATATATTTTCTTTAATCTAGAGTCTTCTGATAACTATCCAATTTGTTCGGCGAGATACGACGATTATTTTAACTGGACTGCAACTTACAAATTGAATTCTGATATTCCGTACCCATATCTACTCATTAAAAATAATAAAGGTGAAATAGTAGGACCAAAAGTTAATATGGAGTGGGTAGAAGAATATTCTACTATAGATGATGAACTGGCTGATAAGTTAAAAAGTAAAACTAAAGCTATAGCTTGGTTCGTGTCGTCTTGTTCAGTTAGAAGCAAAAGGAATAAATTCGTTAAGATTTTTCGAAAAGCATTATCTCATTATAGACTGGATATTGATGTATACGGAAAATGCGGAACGTTTAAGTGTCCGATCGAGAAGAAGGAGGACTGTCACAAAATGTTGGAGAAAGATTATTTTTTTTATCTGTCTATGGAGAATTCTTTTGCTGAAGATTATATCACTGAGAAAGTGTTGACTGCGCTGCAGCATAATATAGTGCCTATTTTGTACGGAGCAGCTAATTATACAAGGTATAGTAATTTTATTTGGTTTAAAAAAAACAAAAAATCATGTTCATTACCCTACAAATACAGTTAGTCACTTATATTAATAAATTGTATACCAAAATCTTCCTTCCTTGAAGTCTTCTGTTTCGTTTTGAATGCATGCGAAAGAATGCACTCAAGACACATTATGTCAGATATACAAAGCTAATTTTAAAAAAAAAATTGTTACAGATTCCTACCACCAGGTTCGTACCTCGACGCTCGAAAGCAGAATGTAAAATCGCTAGCGGACATTGTGGCTCGGCTGATAGAGTATCCCAATATGTACAGAGATTACTTTAAATGGAAACGTTACTACAACTACTACGATCCCACTGCAAAGGAGAATGTTTGTGCAGTATGTGCTGCTTTACACAACAAGACCATGATGGAGACTGTCACAATGTACAAAACCTTCAGGAGGTGGTGGTACCCCCCCTTTAAGAAAAGGTGCAGTTGGTATGTCGATGATGATGATTAGTTGTTAATGTCCGTGTTAAGACCAAGAATGAGCCTTTTACGAATAAAACAATTACGCAATCAGAGGTACTTAGGCATCAGGTAGTGTTGTTGCAATAGCGATATTTGATTGGTATTATTGTCGTAATGTTACAATAGTTTTGAGAATCAGTCTGTCTTCGTTGATAATATAAAGCCGTGTATCGACTGCGCGCGGCTGCCGCGCGAGCCATGTTCGACCGCGGCAAACCTGCGTTTTGGTGCGCGAGCCAATTTAAAGCTCACATTTTCATATAGCGCGGCAGCCGCGCGCGGCAGGCGATCCGTGAACAAACATTCATTTTGTGCGCGGCAACCATGGACGTATCACGTCAGCGACGTGCAGCTGCGGCTTTTATCATCATATATCATATTATTCATAAGCGTTCGAGACGAGAACCTCGTTGGTGGATAAAAAAAATATATATGAATAGAATGCTACATGGTAGTTCACGATTAATGGAAGACATGAGATAAGCTATCGACGAAACAATCAAAAATTTCACACGAATGACAACAAATAAGTAAGGTTTTAAGCCATATAATCTAATCAAATGCCGACACTTCTTGTTATCCATCTTGCCGCGCGTCTCTAAGTAGAAGGTCCGTCCCAATTGCGCACGCACAACACACTGACGCTCCTTTGCCGCGCCACCAAAAACCGACACGAACTGGTTCGCCGCGCGGCACGTTCGAGCGCGCCAATGTTCGAACTGCCTCGCGCGGCGGAGCCGTCCCCATATTGCGCGGCCGCCGCGCGAGCCAATGTTCGATGGTTTGCCGCGCGCAGTCGATACGCGGCTTAACATGAGTAGGTTTAAAAAGCAGAACGCACATACGATTCTTGCTGTCTTTCGTCCGCAAGTTACAGCCTATTTGATTTCTGAAACTACTGAACCGATCAAGTAGAAATTTCGTAAGTACATGTTTTATTATGATGTAATTTAAACAAAATTTGCTGGTATGGAATACCACTATTGGGGGATGAATTAGGATATTATTAAAGTTTGCAATCTATATCTGACATATCAAACATTTTACATATCATATGAAAAAGCTTTTGCGAGATATATTATTATTATTTAGTGAATACGTAGTTTTAAAGTTGTCAAAGAAAAATAATGAAAATTTTTCATCCACCCCAAAACTACTTATATAATAATATGTAAAAGTATAATAATATGGACATCACAATTTGAGAAATTAAATACGATACTAGCGTTAGTATCGATATATATCGACATAATAGTAAATTATCGATAGTTATGCATTCAAAAACGCAAATGAATACTATAAGATGATAACATTGAGAAATTCGATAGTTTCGATAATGTGACTTTTTCGAGACCAGCCCTGCGATTCTGTAAAACTCCAAACCCAAATTCGAGTTCACTCATGTGTCTGAATTTACGTTATTTATTGTAGAATTTCTATTGATTCGATTTTTTGGGTTAAAACACAATACCAGAATTGATTGAATATACGTGTCTCAGATATTCTATTGCTATGTCATTTTGAAACTCACTTCACAAATGCCTCGAAACGTTATTACTAATTTAAGATTGAGCAGATGCCGCTTTGAATTAAATACGGAGAGCTGAATGAATTCGAATTCGAGTTTGGTATTTTATAGAATCGCAGGGTTGTTTAGTACCTATATATTTATTGGTTTACGCTATTGCATCAACATTAAGGTTCTAAACGGTTTCTTGTTTTCATTGAAATAAAACTTTTTTGTAGTAAGAGAACTTGACGCTAAACGTCAAACTCTGTTGTACCTATAAGAAGGAGGATTTTTTTATTGTTAAATGATATTGATTTTAAGTTGATATTGTAAAATGCTTCATTATCGTTTTAATATATTGAGTAATTTGTATATACTGCGTAAAATGCACAAAATATAATATCACGCGTAACTGTAATAGTACATACAGTAGTACGTCAGGTTACAACAATTTGTTTAATGTGTGTGTGATTTTGAACTCTACTATGAACGCACTACGGTTTAAAATCAAGCGGCCAAACGTTATAGATTTGTGCAATCTGACGTGCTATTGACTGTACATCCATGTGAGAAGAGGACTTAACGTATCGATCGATTGACCGTGTGATATTTAATTTTTTATAACATATTGTCCAAAAAATGTTAACAAAAATAGGACCTTGTTGTCTCTTTTTATGTCTATTTGACTACCTATTTTTGGTCATATTTTCATAGATTTTCTTCTATAGTTTATACATATCGAAAAAAAATATCGTTAAAATAATCTACTCAGATATAGATACATATTAAAATCTCCATATCAAAATCTAGACTCTAGTAAGTTGTACGTGCCGTGAGAGCAAGGACGGAAAGAGTTCCCACCGCACCGCACAATAATTACATTAGTTGTAGAATAAAATAAAATTCTATGAATCTCCTTTATTGTTATTACGTATTTGTCCTTTTTTTCTACATTAAGATATGTTTACATATTATATCTGGTTTATTATAACATTAAGATATGTTTACGTATTATTTTTGCCATAGCTCTTTGTTTCCTTATATTCTTATTAGAATTTAATTGTGTCGTTAGAATCTAGAATTATTTCATGTAATTTTAAAAATACAAAATAATTACCTAACGTGGAAAATATTTGAATTCTCCATTTTATTATTTGTAATTTCTTTCATATGTATAGGTACTTCCGTTTGCATTGATATTAGATTACAGTAATTTTTATTACGCTTATGCAAATAATATTACCGATAGATAATAAACAATAATAATATGTGATTTAGAGAATCTTCAAAACTATAGTTTATGTACTTTTAAAAATAAGGGTAATAAATATGGCGTAAAGGGTTTACCTGATTAAAACCTGAACGGTTTTGAATTTATGTGATTGATTTTCGAAGTTGCTATAAGATCTAACTTGTTGATCTGTAAAATGGAATGTCACGATGCGTGTGTGATATTTTTCAGCACCAACAGATGGTGCTAGTGTTTTTAATTAACGTTTCTACTTATCTTCTAATATCTATATTTTTTTATAATTATATATTTTACGTATTTTACAACATTATTAATATATTACTGTTCGTAACTTATCCGATTCCCTTTGCCTATCCCGTGAAGTTACGTGAAGTACGTTAATAATGTTGAAGTTTGAATGTATCCACATTATCTTACAGTGCTATTAATAAGCAAGGTTTAGCCTCAGAGTAGATTTACGCTAAAATTGCAATTTTACTATTAGTCCAAATTCATCAAAGGCAATAAGCTTATTCTATTATATAGATAATAAGCAAACCTCCTACCTTTTAGGAGTAAATATTACTCTCGCAGAAACTCGTACTAGGTTAACCTTTGCCAAGTCTCTGTTTAATAATAAGAATTTTGACTAATACAAAGTGCAGTCACTGCGTAAATTTACTACAACGTTAAACATTGTTTATAAGCAACACGGTTAATGTTTAAATAAAAAAATATATAAAAACACTAGCGACATCTATAGACAGTAAAAAATTATACACCGTTACCTTCCATTTAAAAATTAGAGTAGGTATCGCATTGTTGAAACGTTGTTGGCTATGTAAGGTAAGCAAAGAGTTCTTTATTGTTTATTTATTTTGTTATAATTAGTGAGAATTTTAAGCAGTCACTTCAATCTTTTCCTTCAATTAGATGTTATCTAAATTGCTTATGAAGTTTTTTAATAAATATGGGTGGTGCACCGTTTATCATTATACTTTGTAGTGTTGTTAGTGCTACCACTTTAATATCGATAAAGATATCGATATATTCAAAATTAGATTATAATTAATGTGTGGATAGTATTTACACTAACCGAGTTATCAATAGGTACTATTGATAATTTTGACAATATCAATACTGTATCTTTTGAATCAACTATGTGTCGTAGACAATTTTTAATGAGACAATCTCACTTTTTTGTCATTTCAAATATTATACATATATAAATATATATATATGAAAAATTCTGAAATGGCTTTGGTGTTTTTTCATAATATACTCGAGCGTTACATCAACTAACGTTAACTCTGTATTTGACAATAAACCGTGGGAGCAGAAACTACATTTTAGATAATGTTGTCCTAATTTATGGCATTTTGCTTGCCACTGCAGGCAACCCCTCTAATGCCCGTTTTCACTAAACTTAGGAGACGCTCAAATGTTTAGGTATCTCTTAAGGTGACAATGTATTGTAATATGACAGGTTATAAATACGGCAAGGGATAAAAGAAGAAAATATTAATTTGGTATTGAACTAGGCGATTCGTAAGATAAGGCGTTTCGAAATTCGCTATTATTATTACACGTTGGCAAGTGCGAAAGAGAGTTTCACAGGAGGTGTCCTGCTTCCACATTTTATACGAGTAACCGAGTGAACTTTAGTAGATAAAACTTGTGTATTTCTTGTGTGTTTTAAAATCAATATAATGGTTGTTTCCAAAAAAAACTTATGCTGCATTTAGAAAGGTAGATTAAAATCTTTTTTGTAAAATTATAAAGCCTTATAGAAAAAATATTTGAGAAAACATTTTTATTATCATATTCATCTCCAGGACGGAACTGAGCCCGTATGTTATCGCTATTTAAGTGAGGCGATTGCTTTTAAAATAACTGAGCCTAGTAAAGAACTAGAAACGTATTAAAGTCCTATAGTGTCTAAATATTAAAAAGTTATTTCTGTCTTTTGAATTTAAGTCTTTTTAAAAGTAGTATCTACCGTCTGGAGATGCTTAATATGGCAGATTCTCCACATATTTTTATATAAGATACATATCAATTAAAGCATTGATAATGCATAATTCATCATAAATAATAATTATAGTATAAATAAATCTGTTCAGGTCTGGTATGTATAGAACCTGAATTAAAATATCTTTGTCTAGACCCCAAAAGTCAAATTATTACATACATTTTAGGTAATAATTCGGTCTTTAGGGTAACCTAACGTGCTGTGTACTATACTGTA